ATCTTGCTCTGTTGCCAGCCTGGAGTGCAGTGGTGTAATCTTGGCTCACTGCAACCTCCACCTCCTGCATTCAAGCAATTCTGCTGCCTCAGCCTCCCGAGTACCTGGGACTACAGGCCTGTGCCACCGCCCCTGGCTAATTTTTTGTATTTTTAGTAGAGATGGGGTTTCACCATGTTGGCTAGGATGGTCTCGATCTCCTGACCTGGTGATCCACCCACCTCGGCCTCCCAAAGATTCAACCATCGATCAAAAGTTATCGATGTACGTATGTAGCTAGGCACGGTGGCGTGTGCCTGTAATCCCAGCTACTTGGAAGGGTTAAGGCAGGAGAATCGCTTGAACCTGGGAGGCAGAGGTTACAGTGAGTCAAGATTACACCACTGCACTCCAGTCTGGGCAACAGAACAAGACTCTGTCTCAAAAACAAAACAAAACAAAAAAAACCCTTGTATGTGATTTTCCTGGAAAGCATCTGTTACACCTTCACAAAGATAAAAGGCAGACTTGGCCGGCCGTGGTGGCTCACACCTGTAATCCTAGCACTGAGAGACTGAGGCAGGTGGATCACTTGAGGTCAGGAATTCGAGACCAGCCTGGGCAACATGGTGAAACCCCGTCTCTACAAAAAATACAAAAATTAGCTGGGTGTGGTGGCTGGCACACGCCTGTATTCCCAGCTGCTTGGGAAGCTAAGGCAGGAGAATCACTTGAACCCAGAGGCAGAGGTTTGCAGTGAGCTGAGATCGCACCATTGCACTCAACAGAGTGAGACTCTGTGTCAAAAAGAAAATAAAATTTTTTTTAAAAAGGCAGATTTTTTTTTTCTTCTTGGTCTTATTACCTCATTATAGTAATAATAAGTGCATAGTGCATGCTGAGATAAGCAATCATAATTTGTTATTGCAGCCAGGCACGGTGGCTCCCACCTATAATCCCAGCACTTTGGTCAGGAGTTCAAGGCCAGCCTGGCCAATATAGTGTACTGGGCAGTACAGGTTTTTTTTTGAGATGGAGTTTTGCTCTTGTTGCCCAGGCTGGAGTGCAATGGTGCCATCTCGACTCACTGCAACCTCTGCCTCCCAGGTTCAAGTGATTCTCCTGCCTCAGCCTCCTGAGTAGCTGGGATTACAGGCATGTGCCACCACACCCAGCTAATTTTGTATTTTTAGTAGAGATGTGGTTTCAGCATGTTGGCGACGCTGGTCTCAAACTCCTAACCTCAGGTGATCTGCCCACCTTGGCCTCCCAAAATGTTGGGATTACAGGCGTGAGCCACCGCGCCCAGCTGCAGTACAGGTTTTTAATATGCGAAATACTCTTCCTTTCTTTATGAATGTGCGTGGAAATTCTAATTTGGAATCAACAAAATATGGAGCCCATATTTTGGAATCAACAACATCAGTCTTTGTTGACAAGTGTCTGTCTCTCTTGGGTGTCTTCCTTGTGTCCTCCACTGTATTGTGGGGTTCATAAAATTTCAGTTGTTGTGGTTGCTTAATTTCCTGGGAATCAGACTGTTCCTAATTGGATGATATTTCTGGTTAATTCTATAGTTGGCAGGAAACAGGCACAGGAAACGTGGTCAGTTTCTGATTCTGGCGTTGAGTAGACCCTTTCTCCTTTTCCTCTCTCTCAGTGGGCGACAGATGTGAAAGAAACGAGTTCCAGTGCGAAGACGGGAAATGCATCTCCTACAAGTGGGTCTGCGATGGCACCGCTGAGTGCCAGGATGGCTCTGATGAGTCCCAAGAGACATGCTGTGAGTCCCCTTTGGGCATGATGCACTTTTTTTTTTTTTTTTTAAATAGAGACAGGGTTTTGCCATGTTGGCCATGCTGGTCTTGAATTTCTGGTCTCAAGTGATCCTCCGGCCTCGGCCTCCCAAAGTGCTGGGATTACAGGCACCACGCCTGGCCTGTGACACAATTCTTAACCCCTTTTTGATGATGGCGGCTGGAAAAGTGGGCAGGGGATTTTGATGTATCCAATCATTAATTAGGAGGTGGGGAGAGAATGAATTATTGGAGCTTTCCTTAAAGCCATTAAATGGCTTTTTTTCCATTGATGTGAATTTCACATAACATGAAATTAACCAGCTCAGTGGCATTAATACATTTGCAATGCTGTGCTGTGTGGCCACCACCTCTATCTCAGTCCAAAACTTTGCATAACCTAATGTCTTTTTTTTTTTTTTTTTAAGAGATGGAGTCTAATTCTGTTGCCCAGGCTGGAGTCCAGTGGCACAGTCATACCTCACTGCAGCCTTGACCTCTTGGGCTCAAGCGAGTCTCTTGCCTCGACCTCCCAAAGTATTGGGATTACAGGTGTGAGCCACTGCACTCAGCCTAATGTCCAATTTTTAACAAGCTCCGTTAAATGCCCTCTGTTTTGACCCATAAAGGGGTAGGCTTGGCCGGGCACAATGAATTGTGTCTGTAGTCCCAGCTACTTGGGAGGCTGAGGCAGAAAGGCAAAAAGATTCCTTTATAAAGCCCAGGAGTTTGAGGGCCACCTGGGTGACATGGCTAGACCCCATCTCTAAAAAATAAATAATAAATAAATATTTGTTTTTTTTTTTTTTTTGAGATGGAGTCTTAGTCTTGCTGTGTTGCCCAGGCTGGAGTGCAGTGGTGCGATCTTGGCTCACTGCAAGGTCTGCCTCCTGAGTTCATGCCATTCTTCTGCCTCAGCCTCCCAAGTAGCTGGGACTACAGGCGCCTGCTACCATGCCCAGTTAATTTTTTGTATTTTTAGTAGAGACAGCGTAGTCACCGGGGTTAAGCCAGGAGAGGTCGCTCAGATCTCCGACCTTCGTGATCCACCTGGCTTTGGCCCTTCCCAAAGTGCTGCGGATTACAGGCGTGAGGCCAATGCGCCGGCCCATATGTATTTTTTTTTTTTAATGAGATGGTTTGGAGGCCAGACCATGGCTGGTCCTCATTGCCTAGAATTCCAGCCACTCTTTTGGGAGGCGCTGAGGGGGTGGTCACTTTGAGGCCATGCCAGTTGAGACCAGCCTGGCTCAACGCGATGATGAAACTTCATCGTACTGTTCAAAAAGAAAATGTTGGGATTGGCATTCTTTTTTTACTCAAAAGTTCTGTGGGTTGTCCTTTGCAAAACGCGCCGCATCTGGCGAGGCCAGTGCGGTCCTTTTGTTTTTTTTTTATTTTTGAGACGGAGTCTCGCTCTGTCGCCCAGGCTGCGAGTGCAGTGGCGCGATCTCAGCTCACTGCCGAGCCTCCGCCTCCCAGCGTTCCACGCCGATTCTGCTGCCTCAGCCTCCTCAGGTGAGTTGAAGCCTCTCTGCGCCACCTCGCGAAACCGGCTGAGTTTTTTTTTGTATTTTTTATAGATAGTAGAGACGGGGTTTCACCGGTGTTAGCCAGGATGGTCTCAAGTCTCGCTGACTTGTTGGATGCCGCCTGCTCTCGGCCCTTCCAAATGCTGGGAGTTTACAGGCTTGAGCCACCACGCCCGGCCGGGGGGGGGGCGCCGTCTTTTTTTTTCTCCTGTTGTCTGGCTGACAGAGTTCTCACTCTGCCCACCCAGGCTGGTTAGCTGCAGTGGGTGGTGATCTTGGCCTCGGCACCTCCGGCCGCTCCTGGGGTTCAAGTGATTCTCCTGGCCTCGGGGCCTCCCAAGTAGCTGGGACTACAGGCGCCGCGCCCGCGCGCTCTCCCCAGGCTCAGGTCTGATGTGTTGTTGTGTGTTTTTGGGTTTTTGTTTTTAATTGTTTATTTATTATTGTATTACTTGAAGGTGGTGTAGGGTACATGTGCATAACGTGCAGGTTTGTTACATATGTATACTTGTGCCATGTTGCTGTGCTGCACCCATCAACTCGTTATTTACATCAGGTATAACTCCCAATGCAATCCCTCCCTAATTTTTGTATTTTTAGTCGAGACGGGGTTTCACCATGTTGACATGTTGACCAAGCTGGTCTTGAACCCCTGACCTCAGGTGATCTACCCGCCTTGGCCTCCCAAAGTGCTAGGATTACAGGCGTGAGCCACTGTGCTCAGCCTCAGTGGGTCTTTGCTTTGAGTGACAGGTCAATCCTGTCTCTTCCATAGTGTCTGTTACCTGCAAATCCGGGGACTTCAGCTGCGGGGGCCGTGTCAACCGCTGCATTCCTCAGTTCTGGAGGTGTGATGGCGAAGTGGACTGTGAGAACGGATCAGATGAGCAAGACTGTCGTAAGTGTGGCCCTGCCTTTACTATTGAGCCCATCTGGGTCCTGGGGAGTGTCTGACTGTCTCTACAGGGTCCTGCTTAAGCTGCAAGGCAGCTGCCCTGAACTGGGCTCCATCTCTTGGGGGCTCATACCAAGCCTCTTCTGCCCCTCAAATCCCTCCCTGACCAGGAGGCATTACAGACCAGGGATAGTGCCACCTCTTCGGTTTGTCGCGCACAGTCAGGGACACCATCCCTGCCGAGGGCTGGCCACCTGGCACACACACTGGCAAGCCACTGTGATCCCCAGTGGCCGTGATCCCCGTGATCCCGTGATCCCTGCCCCGTGAGGCTGAACACATAGTGACACTTGCTAGCCACGCCTCAATGACCCAGGTAACGTGAAGGGGAAAAAGCTAGAAAGTTCTGCCAAGGAGGAAGGCCAAGAATCCCAAAGGGAAATGGGCTTTGGAGCTGGGCATCTTCTTGGCTGTCTTAATACAAGTGGCATATCCCAAATCCAAAAACCCGAAATTCAAAGTCTTGAGCACCCAAAATTCTGAAACGTCTTGAGCACTGACATTTAGAAGAAAATGCTTATTGGAGCATTTTGGATTTTGGATTTTTACCATTAAATGTGGAGTCCTAATTAGGAAAAAGCCAGGCTGGTCAAACCAAGGGAAAGCAATAAAAGAAGGCAGATAGAGTCGAGTGCAGTGGCTCACGCCTGTAATCCCAACCCTTTGAGAGGCTGAGGCGGGTGAATCACTTGAGGTCAGGAGTTCAAGACCATCTTGGCCAACATGGTGAAACCCCATCTCTACTAAAAATACAAAAATTAGCCAGGCATGGTGGTGTGTGTCTGTAATCCCAGCTACTCAGGAGGCTGAGACAGGAGAATCACTTGAACCTGGGAGGCAGAGATTGCAGTGAGCCAAGATCACACCATTGCACTCCAGCCTGGGGGACAAGAGTGAAAATCTATATCAAAAAAAAAAAAAAAAGAAGGCTGGGCATGGCGGCTCATGCCTGTAATCCCAGCACTTTGGGAGGCCGAGGTGGGTGGATCAGGAGGTCAGGAGATCAAGACCATCCTGGCTAACACGGTGAAACCCCTTCTCTACTAAAAATATAAAAAATTAGCTGGGCGTGGTGGCGGGTGTCTGTAGTCCCAGCTACTCGGGAGGCTGAGGCAGGAGAATGGTGTGAACCCAGGAGGTGGAGCTTGCAGTGAACTGAGATGGCACCACTGCACTCCAGACTGGGCAACACAGCGAGACACCGTCTCAAAAAAAAAAGAAAAAAAAAAGAAGGCGGCAGATAAACTATAGAAGTCTGCCTTTCTTCATGGTCCAGAACACATAGCTCTCCTGTGTAAATAACTCCCAATCTTCCTGTGCCCAGGTATCAGCAGACACCTTGGCTGATAGAAAATTGCAGGTTAGCGCACTGCAACCTTGGCATCATAGGGACTGCACAACGCCCTCTTCAGCGCACAGCACAAGCACCATTCTATAAAATCTCCAGCAAGCAGCCGGGTGCGGTGGCTCACACCTGTAATCCCAGCACTTTGGGAGGCTGAGGCGGGCTGATCATCTGAGGTCAGGAGTTTGAGACCAGCCTGGCCAAAATCATAAAACCCTGTCCCTACTAAAAATACACAAAAATTATCCAGGCATAGTGGCAGGTGCCTGTAGTCCCAGCTACTTGGAAGACTGAGGCAGGAGAATCGCTTGAACCTGGGAGGTGGAGGTTGCGGTGAGCTAAGACCGTGCCATCACACTCCAGCCTGGGGGACAAGAGTGAGACGACTTCTCAAAAAAAAAAAAAAAAAATCCCCAGCAGGCCTTTGTCTCCTGGCAGTCAGCTCCTCCCTTGCTGACCTGCTCATTGCTTTCTTGCAAGGTATTTTCCTACTTTCTCGAATAAATCTGCCTTTCTTTACCTACAGCTGCCTTTTTTTTTTTTTTTCTCTTCAGTTTTTTGAGACCGAGTCTCACTCTGTTGCCCAGGCTGGAGTTCAGTGGTGCAGTCTCGGCTCACTGCACCACTGGTCCCAAGCATTTTAGAGAAGTGATACTCAACCCAAAATAAGGACAGGAATTCTGTAAATGGTGCCACCGTCTTGCAGTTCTCAGTTTAACAGCTTTACACCTATTAACGCACCAGTCCTCAGAGCAGTGCTGGGAGATGTGTACAGATGAGGAAACTGAGGCACTGAGAGGGCAGTGGTTCAGAGTCCATGGTCCCTGACTGCTCCCCAGCCCGCCTCTCCAGGGGCCTGGCGTTTCTGTGGCAGCGTCCCCGGCTATAGAATGAGCTAGTGTTGGGAGACTTCACGGTGACGGTGGTCACGGCCCATCCATCCCTGCAGCCCCCAAGACGTGCTCCCAGGACGAGTTTCGCTGCCACGACGGGAAATGCATCTACCGGCAGTTCGTCTGTGACTCAGACCGGGACTGCTTGGACGGCTCGGACGAGGCCTCCTGCCCGGTGCTTACCTGCGGCCCCGCCAGCTTCCAGTGCAACAGCTCCACCTGCATCCCCCAGCTGTGGGCCTGCGACAACGACCCCGACTGCGAAGACGGCTCGGATGAGTGGCCTCAGCGCTGTCAGGGTCTTGAAGTGCCCAAAAGGGACAGTAGCCCCTGCTCGGCCTTCGAGTTCCACTGTCGAAGTGGCGAGTGCATCCACTCTGGCTGGCGCTGTGATGGAGGCCCCGACTGCAAGGACAAGTCTGACGAGGAGAATTGCCGTAAGGACAGGAGCGGGGCCGGGGGCAGGAGCGGGGCGTCCTATCACCTGTCCCTGGGCTCCCCCGGGTGTGGGACTGCTTAGGTGCTGAAGTGGATTTCGAACAACATGCCAAGAAAGTGTTCCCATTTCATGTTCTTTTCTTTTTTTTTTTTTTTTTTTTGAGGTGGAGTCTCACTCTGATTTTTTTCATCTCTATATTTCCTGCATCCATGAGGCCCCAGGCGATGGTTCCTGTTGGCTTATTGGGAAGTCACTGTTTGGAAGGTGCTGGTTGTTTTTTGTTGTTTGTTTTTGTTTTGAGACGGAGTTTCGCTCTTGTTGCTCAGGCTGCAGTGCAATGGCGTGATCTTGGCTCACTGCAATCTCTGCTTCCCAGGTATAAGTGATTCTCCTGTCTCAGCCTCCCAAGTAGCTTGGATTACAGGCATGCACCACCACGTCCAGCTATTTTTTGTTGTATTTAGTAGAGATGGGGTTTCACCATGGTAGTCAGGCTGGTCGCAAGCTCTTGACCTCAGATGATCCATCTGCCTCAGCCTCCCAAAGTGCTGGGATTACAGGCGTGCACTGCCGCATCCAGCCTCTTTTTTTTTTTTGTTTTTTTTGAGACGGAGTCTCGGCTCTGTCGCCCAGGCTGGAGTGCAGTGGCCGGATCTCGGCTCACTGCAAGCTTCGCCTCCTGGGTTTACGCCATTCTCCTGCCTCAACCTCCAAGTAGCTGGGACTAGCAGGCGCCCGCCCACCTTGCCCGGCTAGTTTTTTGTATTTTTTAGTAGAGACGGGGTTTCACCGTGTTCGCCAGGATGGTCTCGATTCCTGACCTCGTGATCCGCCGTCCCAGGCTCCCAAGTGCTGGGATTACAGGCTTGAGCCACTGCGCCCCGCCTCTGGTTGTCTCTTCTTGAGAAAAATCAACACACTCTATCCTGTTTTCCAGCTGTGGCCACCTGTCGCCCTGACGAATTCCCAGTGTCTGATGGAACTGCATCCATGGGCAGCGGCAGTGTGACCCGGGAATATGACTGCAAGGACCTGAGCGATGAAGTTGGCTGCATTAACGGTGAGCGC